TCTGAAATGATAGTAATCGACGCTCGTTTCCACCGCTACTCGATCGCACCTCTCGCTGTCAGATACGCTCATGATATCGCTCACGCTTGATTTTGTAGCACGAAGGGAATGCTAAAAATCAAGGTATACGCTGTATTTCGGAAGGGGACACACAAGGTTCGCATGAATTATGGGTTCTCATGTGTCCGCTGACACTCTTCTGTTTTTTTCGTTCTTATTGTTCACCGTGTTCAACCATTGTGTGCCTAAACAGGTATAGGAAAGGTGCGAACAGTTATTAGTACTGTAAACATCTCCAACCATTTCAGTTTCAATGCCGTTACATGTGAAAACCACAATCCTTTGGGGACTGGTGTCCAGTTCATCGGATCGTGCACCCTTTGGATGGTAAATGTTCAAAGACCTGAGGTCGGTGACCACAACCACAACCAGGAAGGCGTGGGTGTATGTTGTTCGTACGCTTCTTGGTTAGTATGAAATCAGGGTTTTTAGCCAAATTCCTCAGGTGAACTGTCAGTGCTTCACCAACCCGTTTATAGCCCCGGATCTGATAATCTAATGACGCATTCTGCTTAGATTTTTAATTGTTGTGAATCTTACATATAACGCTGGTGTGATTTCTTCTAATCACTTCAAAATGTGTCTGGCGATAGAAACATCCAGTTGCTTTTTGTGGATCTGCATACGCAGCCGTGGACACTTTTGTACTGTTGGCTTATGCTGTTTCCTCCTGGTTTGACTCAGATACAAGAGAGGGGGGATGCACTTTGTGTTACTAAAACGCCTCTCATCTCCCTTCCACATACACACAATCACTGATTTCATTCGTTTCACCTGCTTCAGGACTACATCAGCAAAATCGTCCAACTGTGTGTTATCCCCGAGACTTTGGTACACATATTCACTCGAACTTCTAAGGAGGAACAGGACGTGCATTTCGCTTTTCTCGAAGTGAGTCATTTTATTCACAGACTGTTCCGATATGGTTTTCACCGTTGATTCTCCGATCGGATAAAACTATTTTTCAAATTCAGTTGTTTTCTTCACACGAACAGTGTGTCGTTTATTTGTACTACTTTTTCAGAAGTTCAAGATTTTACCCGCTATATTGAAAGTCTTTCATGAATTTACTTTTTCACTCCTGTATGGAGCTGAACTCTTTCGACCATATGTATCCAACGTTTACGTTACTGAATTCATCCAGGAACTTGTTTGTGTTTACAACACAACCAAGGTGTTCATATTCGTAGGGATTGAACATCGTAGCCGTCGAGTATTACCACAACAGCATCCTCGTTTTTTTCATCTATCTCCTCCTCTCTCTCATCGTCTTCGATCGATTCTATCCCGGTTGTGCATGGTTTAGTCGCATCTGAGCATGTCTATCGCACGGATTGCCCGACTGAATGATGTGTCTCGCCTGATGCATCAATTCGTGCTTCGTCTGTATCCGTTTCGAGTCGGCGCATCGCATGGATTACGTTGGATCGCTTCTCAAGTGCTCACACGAAGCGAGTCACCTCCCGGAACGACGGTCTCATTCGGTACAACCAAGGGACCCGCCGCGGTACGTTCTTATTTAACTGTTTTTGCAGATATCTGGTAATGCTCAATTTGTATTCTCTATAACACACCACAGTATAAATATCAGACGGCGTCTCCCATGTGTTATTAAACTTGAAACTTAAAAGAAAAACAACGCCTGAATAGGATAGAATGTGTGTGGTATTGATCAGCGCAGCTACGAAGTCGAATTCAGAGAGTGAAAGCATCCGTTTATAGCTCCTTGCACATTCCCAGTCATTATAATGATATGTTGCAAATATTTAGAGAGGATAAACATCTGTTGCGTGATAACCCCTTTTTGTTTTCCAAACATTCCCTTTAGCAGTCTGGCATACGGTTACATCGGTTGGTTAAGTTGTGTTCATACTCCACGGTCGCCGTATTTGATCAGGCTTGTCCTACATGGTTTCGTTCTTGGGCTTCTTGAGTGACCTGTTTCGACGTCGAAATGCGCTCTTCTTTCAGTTCCAAAACTGGGCTTATCCCTCTCACGGAATGATTGCGTGCCGTGACCTACCATTTTTATTCTTTTTATTCACTGGTCTGAAACAAACAAGGTGCGAACAATGTAGAAAAGAAGGGAAACGATTATGGACACGGCATGGAGGTGTTCATCTCTATACTCTATGTTGTGGGCTGTTGCACCACTCGGTTACTCACTAACCGGAGTAAACGATTGATTCGAGGCACTTCATTCCGAGAATTCGTCAAAATATTCTCATCTTACAGGACAGTGTGTGTGCAAGAGAAGGTGGTGTGATGCTTTGAGTCCGTTTTCCATTGAGGGATCGGTATCCCATTTGGTATGATGACACACACATACGGCGTGTCCACTGGGACTGTTGGCAAGAAACCAGATCCCAGAATCTTGCTGTCTGGCATGCGTTATGTTCTGTTCAATAGTTCACCAGTTGTTTTGAACGACACGCTTGCTATTGTTTGCTTATATGTTCTTTCGCACGAATGTTTCTGTTTCAAGGTAATCCAGGTGCGTCCATACCTGTGTATTGAAGTATTCTACTGACAGTTGAGACTTTATTCATTAAATAAAATTGTCAAAACAAGTTGTATCTCAATTTTTTGCGTACAGCATGCAGTGCGGTGCATTTTCACTATTCTGATTCACAACTTCTGTTTTGTACTGCTCAGTTTTCTCTCCCTTTAATTCGTTCTGTCAGGCGGATTTTCTCGGCCATTATGTGTGTGGTATTCTGGCCTTCTTTGACAACACGCTGCTAGACGATGATACGATGCTAGAACATCGATGGATTGCGTTACGCAGTTTGGTCGTTTTCATTCAACTCCTCGGATCCGGGCACGTGACTCGGATGCGTGCGAAGTTTATGGCCACACTGAAGTAAGTATGAGTCCCACAACAGAGTACAATATTGTCGGATTTGGTGCATCTGAATCAGTTACCAGAATTTACGAATAACCATTTTGGCCTATCCCTCACAAGAGTATCTGTTATCGTTTCACGAATTCCCCAACACCATCTGAAACCCTGGTAATTGGTCGCCGCTAGATCCTTTTAACCCTACAAAATAGGACTTTCATTCTCTCTAATCCTTGTACCGATTGATTTCGATGCCAGCTGGTTAGATCCCTTGCATCCTACTCGCGGGGGGTCTATCAACGAGGCGAAATAAATGGTACCCCCTCATCCCCCTCCCACTTTTTCATTTATTGAACCCTATACTGATCGTATAGATGAAGGCGGTATTTTGTCTTCTGTCACAGCTTTTCGTGGATGTGATAACCACAAACAGCATTCTTTTTGGATACTTGTGTTGTTTACTTCATGCAGTTCGGAATTCTTTCCCCTTTCCGTTCACCATATCTGCTCTGTTTTCACTACCTCGTAGAATATGCTTGCGGTACAAGACGATGCCGTTTGTCAAGGTGGTGATCAAAGCATGGCGTAGCTTTATTCGAATGTAAGTTAATCTTTTCCTTTCGCTCTCTCTGTCTGTCTGTCTGTCATATTCTATGATGACTAGAAGTTTTGCTATTTTTTCGTGTGGTGCCATTGTTATCCGAGGAATGCGATTGAAGCGGCGTGCTTTTAACCCTGTG